CACACACACACACACACACACACACACACACACACACACACACACACACACACACACACACACACACACACACACACACACACACAAACAAACACACACACACACACACACACACACACACACACAAACAAACAAACAAACAAACACACACACACAAACACACTCACGCGTGCGCGCACACACACACATTTATTTATTTTTTTTATAACGTATTTTTAACTTTAGCATATATAACGTACAGTTTGGCTTTGGGGAGCGTTTTAACCGTCATGTTTCGCTGCAGCATAGCCTGGCTGGCAGCATTCAAACTAAACACAGTGAACATGCCGCCACTGATCGCACCCAGAGTCGTCATTCTTACGGTCGGATCCGCTGGAAACCTGAAAGTACGAGTGGACACGTGAACGCAGTGCCACATAATGTAGGTGCGTTTTAAATAGAACAACGAGGTAGTTAAGAATCACACGCTATGCGAGCCTTTACAATATATTTTGTGCGTGAACGCTCTCATTCTCATTCAAAGTGAGTTAAATGGCGAAAGAACGACGTCGACTGGAAATGCTATATTCATTGTGGTAACGTGCTCACTCGAACCATCGAAGTCGACCGCCTTTATCGGCTATTCGCCACACGTCCTCGATACCCCCGATCTGTAGCGTGCCTTTCATCATGATCGTCGCTACGCTGGCCAAAATGACGAAGATTTGGAACGTGTCCGTCCATAACACTGCTTTCATTCCTCCCTGCACGATACATGAATAAAGGTTGTGTCATTTGCGGTAAATCAATCTGTATAGATAGTAAGTGTATTCATATAATGCTGTGTGGACATCATTAGCGGCATCATGACAACGTTTACTGTCTATAGGTGCTAGTATCGTTAGGGCTTCATACCAGGCTGTTTCCGAACGGGCTCTACCTCTGGACATTTACAATTACTCATCATAATGCACGACACTAATTACACGACATAAAACACGTATATTTTGGCTGAATAAACGCCCGCGTTTGTTGATGAGTTATTTTGTACTAGCGGGATACCCGGCGTTGCCCGGGGAAATCAGTGGCGTTACTCAGTTGGTGACCGCTTGGTTAAGCGTATACACCATGGATTCACACGTACGTGATGTTTTAATCTGTACGCACCGCCATCTATTGATGAATAGAATTTTTATCAATTTTTAACTTTTTTAAATTTTTGTTTCAGCCAGAACCACCTCCCAGACGTGCTGATACTAAAAATATCTTTAGTTTTCCTCTAGGCTGCGGAGTTCTCTAGTTATGCGAGTACGGACTAATTCGGCTGAACAACTTTATATATATAGATTTTCCTCTAGGCTGCGGAGTTCTCTAGTTATGCGAGTACGGACTAATTCGGCTGAACAACTTTATATATATAGATGATAAAAATTATGTGACGATGTTTGATGAATAAATTTGTGTGATCAAACATATTTCCCATAAGCAATGGTGTATAACCATCGATATCCTGACAAAAATAAAACAAGACAAAACACAAGGGACCTCTTACTGCCTAATTGTTTTCGTGTGATATTGACCTAGTGTGCGAAGTAGGCTACAGGTGGCAGAACACGCGTCGTGGAACAGCTTGTATTATACAACAGTATGCTGACACACATTTTATTTAAACGCATTACAAAAACTAGATTTCGATAACTTATTCGTTATGACATTGAATGTGACGTGAATATTAAACGGCTATTTTAAGATGATCGCACAGTTGTCGTCATATATACAATTACCAAATTATTAAAGTTTTACCATGCGTATCCGTCTATGTGCATTTTCTTATCTCAGTCTCTATCTATATATGTGCGGGGCGCATGTCCCCTCCTCTCACTCTCTCCTTCACTCTCTTTCTCGCTCTCTCTTTCTCTCTGTACTTGTTTGTCTCTCGCGCGCTTGCTTTCTTTTCTCTTCACTAGTTCTCTTTTTCCCCTTCCCATCTGTCTCTCTCTCTCTTTCTCTTTCTCCCCCTTTAACTTCATAGACATTATAAGAATTCATATGCACATATGAATATATTCCAGCGACGCGCATGACAGCGTTGAGCAATTCTGGAGCGTGTGAATGACATGTTTACAGTCTTGCCGATGCCTAGCCGCGTAACTATTAGTAAAGAAAGTCACGTCTATCGCCGCTGGGCGTTTTAAAAAGAATTTATAAAAAGACCATTTATCAAACTGCCTGTCGGGGATATAATTACCTTGAGGAGTAGAATCTTGGTGACGCAGGTAAACATTTTCTCCTAGTTTCTTTGTGAATGCGCTTTGTTTGATTTTTTATTCAAAACGTTTCAATTATCCAATGTGACCACAAACATAACAGTATATATATATATGTACAAGAGCGTATAAAGAAGACTTCTTTATACGCTCTTGATATGTATGTTCATTGATATGTTTATGTGCACACACACACAAAAACACACACACACACACACACACAAACACACACACACACACACACACACACACACACACACACCGACACAAACACACACACACACACACACACACACACACACACACACACACACACACACACACACACCCACACAAACACACAACGAAGCAATTATTCACTTATTCTATACATTGACTTGTTTTTATATATTATATATATATATATATATATATATATATATATATATATACATGCATACATACATGCTCATGTGCGCGTGATAACATTTAAGAATGTCCCATGCTGGCAAGTAGCCGCCACCCTATATATAATAGATCAGTCTGTGCACTGGAAATAGTCACAATTTATTTTGTGTTTAACTCAGGGTCATTCTATATATATAGATAAAAAGGTGTGCTAAATTTGCGGAGACCTTGAAGAGAAGAAAAGTTTAAATTGGCGCATGAAAATGATCAAGATGCCTGTGCACAGTGGTGAGGCGACGTCTGCATGTATATCCCATGACATAGGGCGTATGTTTCTGTCACTGCAATTTATTTTTAGAGTCATTGCAATTAGTACAAATCTTTACGAGAAAGGCGTTCAAATTTGTGCGGAACAATAATGATTGTACGTCTGTCTGAATCAAATATTGAACTACACACATATCTGCAGCAGATATATTATTATTATATATTATATACTATATATTATATATTATATATTATATTATATATATATATATATGATATGTCGATATGCGCGGTATATCTTCTGTTCACGCATGTCACTATGACACAGCCGCGTGTGTGTAAAGTAGCATGAGAATCGCATACGACAGCCGTACCAAGGACATGCCACTTATTTTATCGGCACCCATTTCATTGTTGTTCTTCACGGCAATACATGCCGATAAAAGCAAAAAGAAAACAGCTAGCACACGATGCCAGCGCTTTTAATTGATCATTGAGCATGATTTTCAACCAATACCGAACCTAATTAAACTCTAAGCTTAAGTGATTTAAACCTAGCATGGAATAGAGGTATGTACGTACCAGGAACCTGTTTGGTACCAGAAACACAGAAACGACATGTCAATTTCAGGGGAAATTCTACAGGGCCACTGTACCATAGATATTGGGGATGGCGTAGAATCGACTATGACCACACCACACTACTCACAACAGAAACGCATAACGCTCTAAAAAAGTGCTACTAATACGATAACGTAGGTTGTATAGGTGATTATTGTAGTGACCTACGATTGTAGTGTAGAAGGTGCAAATTGCGCCGCTGCTTAATATAGATGCTGCCATCGATAGCCCCGTAACTAAAACACAAAATCAGAACGCATTAGCAACCCGTCAACGTCGTTGCCCATACAACGTATAGATAACATATTATATAATATTATATAGAAAATATATTATATATTATATAGTATAATAATATATATTTATATATATATTTTTAATATATATATATTTGAAAAGGAGCAACACAAAATGCTGTATAGTGTATGCCTGTTTATTATTAGTGTTATAAAAATATTATTCGTGTAGGCCTACTGTATAAGTTTGTGGCATGAGAGAATCCTGTAAAAATGTTCTTATAGGTAGAATCAGACACGCGGAACTCGTAACGTACATACGCAACACGTAAATGCGTACAGGGGCTCACGCACGAGCTCACGAGTGTTTCGGAACATCTATTAATACCTGACTAAGCTAGAGCGCGAGCGAAAACACACCACGGCCATGTAAAGTTCCTGAAAGCCGGGATAACAGTTTAAAATTCATAACCTAAGTAAATGCATACGATAATTCATGATCTGAAACACAAAAAGTCACTGAAGCTTAATTTGTAAACATTTCAGTTTGGATTAGCACTAATAATAAAATGATATCATTTAATTTTATTAATTAAAACATAGTAGAGTGTTAACACCAAAAGCTCGTGGAAAAATATCAAAAATGTTTTAATCTAAGATTCATTTAATACTAGACACTAAACCATCTATGCGCACTTATTTTGTAAATACGCGCTAGTTAAAGTTTTACCGATACTCTTCCATCCATATAGGTAATGATAACACTAACTGATTTCGTATTGTCGTGTCCGAAGCCGTACTGGAAGTACTGCAGAGGATTTCAAAATGTATATGATACTAAGGTGTATAACTGATTGTAAAAGAAAATTAATGCGATTTATATATCTAATATATATATAATCAAGAGGCGAGATGAATACTCGCTATATACCTCAGGTATTATCCGCTCTTGATATATATATATATAAATATATATAAGCGCCAAGGATTTTGATATGATAATAATTACTAATTTCCGACTGACAGAAGAAATAGCCTGAAAAGCTGGGGACATGCATGGTGAGGCGTACAATGATCGTGTTTAATGCCTGCGTTGAAGAAAGAAGGCAACATTATATGCGGCATTTCGTTATTTTTGGTAAACTCTGTTTCTGTATCTCTATATTGAGCATTAAGGCATGGAGCCTGGAAAGCCAAACTCCTGAATTTTCCTGGTAACTCTGACAGGCCTACTCTCGCATACTATTTTATTTTCTCTACTATTAACTACTATTTTCTCAATACTCTTTTATAGGGACTTTAGGCCAAATCGTTAGGAAAACGTGTTTTAGTTCTAAATCGGATTCGAACATACTTGCAAGCGCGTGAGAGGAGATAGCGGTAGGGAACGAGAGAGAGGGGGGGAGAAAGAATAAAAAAGATGTGATATTACGAGCTAATCACAAACCGACCGACTGTAAACGAAAGGGTGACTGGGGTAAATCGAACATCTTGCTCATTCTATAGATTCAGCAGCCTCCAACACTATTCTGCTTAACTGACGCTAATGTTACAGCAAAATCCTTTATCCCATATCACTGATGATTACCGCTATTTTGTTTTTATTATTACAAGTAAGGTAATAAAAAGCGCGCACTTAAGCCACGTCGAATTCCTACAATGAAACTATTAAATGACACAGTGACGTACACAGTCATTGGCATACCATACTTCTATCTAAACCCTCGCGTTCTAAGAATTTCGCTTCCTGTTTTTAATTTTATTCCGGTTTATTTATACATAGTTATTACCACTCTTTTAACTGACAGCCTCCTTCGGTCTTTAACTTTTCCTAATTATACAGCGAGATTGCTAAAAAAATACAAGCCGGCTATCCATCTTAACTGTTCACTGGGTGTTTTCGATTGCCCTCGCGTATAAAATGACAATTGCAATAGCTACTACACACTATTAGTGTATTCCGCACGTGTAAGTACAATTTTACACGACTGACTTGTCGTTGCGCTTTCGTTACCTCGCAAGATGTGCCAAATTGGAGTAACAATTTATCTATAACACCGAACCATGGTCAATACCATATGATTTAATAGGATATATAAAATACAATGTAATCAGGAGTGATAATAGATTATTATTACAATTATTATTCACTCCTGATGTAATCATGTTTATTTGTGCGTGCGCGTGTGCAGGGGATGTGCGGCTATATTTACCTCATATATGCTAACCGTTTCCAGTTTGTAAAAGATGGGCAGGTACAGGTGTGCGCAAATCGGTACGGCGACGATCGGTCCGAAGTAGGACCACGATAGAAGCGTGCCGAAATTATACATCTCCGACGGTGCTCCCAGAATCCCGATCGTCGACAGGAAGGTGGCCACCATGGAGAAGACGACAGGCATTATCGGCATGTTCTTGTTCGCCTGTAGGAACTCCTTCGTCGTGCGCTGCCTGCCGCCCGTGAAGGCGTAGTACAGCCCTATACTAGCAGCCACCAGCAGGGACGTGGCGAAGACCACGTAGTCTAACACGGCGAAAGTCCTCACGTCTCTCGCCATGGCAGTAACAGCCGCGTGGGACGAGCGTATAAGCAGCACGGTTACCTGACTTACCGGACACTAACACCGACGGCAGAGGATGACGATGCTGAGCTGGTGAAGCTAAGCTGAGAAATGACGGTAGAGGACGCGCATAGCCGTAGGCGAATGCGCTGTCTGACCCTGGCCACGTGGCGTTCTGCGCACTTTCAATTCTTTAGACCAATCCTAGAGTGACACGCGGTAGTGTGATAAGAGGATCGCTGACACGATAAGAAATTAACCTTAATTCTTGGAACTTGTGGAATAAGCAGCGTGACAGTCTAATACGATTTAGAGTAGTCAAAGGCTTATCCGAAGTAATTCTCGCGGCGACCCTCAACCCCACCGCATTATATTTCATATAGATTCTACCCAATTCGCATTTTGGTTCATTTTTTTTTGGTTTATCTTCCTAAAGGCCCGATTTAAACAGGCTTTCCGTGTCTCTAATATATCCCTTTCTACTGCTGCCAGGCCCAATAAGTGAAGCAAACCCAGAGGCAATGCAATCAGACGTGAAAGCCTGTGAACCGAGGTGCTGATGTTTTGCCTGGGGTATGTCTTTATACAGTGTATAGAATAGATAACGACCACATATATCTGAACACTGGTCGGGAGCTGCGTCGCGTTTGAACGACCCACGCCGGAAAACCAAGACGACAGCATATTTTCCCAGACCTAGTTTTCGAGAAACTTTTTACACGTGATCACGTAAATCAATCTTCACTGTCGTTAGTGGTGAGCAAAGCACCTACTGCGCGCGCATATATAATACGCACGCACGCACGCACGCACGCACGCACGCACGCACGCACGCACGCACGCACGCACGCACGCACACACACACACACACACACACACACACACACACACACACATACATATATACACACACACA